CTCCAGGAGGCTCTGCCGGCGTGGAGGCGGCGGGCAGGGCGAGCGGGAAGCTGGGCGCTGCCTCACCCTGCTGTGGAGCGATGGGGCTTAGCGCACGCCTTCAGGGGGACACCCCGCATGCGGGGTGTTACCGCTCCACAAATGAACTACATTGAAAGTCCAACTCTAACACCGTTTACGGCAGCAAGCCCAAATTGTCCTCAACTACCAGTCCCTCTGTCTTTCCCTGCGGGGCTCCTCTCTGTCTCAAGGTGCGCTGTGTGTTACGTTTCACGTTCATGTTTACAGTTTATTGAAAATAAGATATTAAAGGGTTATGACATAGGTAATGCGCTTAACCTACAAAGCATATGTGGTCCTTACACAGCGTAGTTGTGTGACCGACAGTTTATTTTAGCATCGGAAGAATTCTGCCCTGGGTTTTAGCCACGCCTAGCTGTACACCTTTTTGCAAATGCTTTTGCCTGCTGGAGTTTCAGTCGCCAGCGTGTTTTGGAGTGCTGTGAAAAAGAAGAGAAACCAAGCGATAGTTTTGCGAAGCTGATGTGTTCCTGTAAAGCGTGGCTCGTGGTCCCACAGGCTGCCGTTGCCCCTTGGTTGATTGAAGGCGCTCGGGGGTTGACACCGAGAGTTGCTGGGCTCCTCCTGAGAGGCCGTTACCTGGCGCGGGGGATGCTGCTTTGGAGCCGGTTGTCGCGCAGTGGCACTCGAGTAGATCGCAGTTATTTGAATGACTCTGATGTTACTATATTTCTGAACTGCGGGTGTCCCTGAAGCCAAATTTGTAACCGGTGAATATGCCCATGTGTATTTGGAGGAACGTGAGGCACCAGGTCAGTTCAGACACTTTCAGCTCTGCTGCGCAAAATCTGACTGAGAAATAATTACAGTAGAGCTAGCGAACAAAGCAAAGCTGAAAAGAGCAGCGAGCGCAGATAAATGCACTCAGCTGTGCCCGGGAGGAGCAGCCGGTGCCATTGCGCGCAGGTGCGGGGTGCGCCAGAGCAGAGCTCCCAGGGACCGGCTGGAGAGGAAGCCCTTCCGTCGCAGGGCAGCGTGAATCCTTTTGTGCCAAGGAGTTCACAAGAAAGTCCTTTTTACAAATGTGTGTAACTGCTGCGTGGCGCTTCTCTTCCGCCTCCGAGCCCCTCTGTGCAGTGCCGGGAAGCTGCGGTTTAGACGTCTATAGCTTTCCCTTGACTTCTTAAAGGTCACGTTAAAGGAATTGGCACTGAAGAGGTGCAGATCCATCTCTGACACTAGAGGGGAGAGAATGATAGCAAGTTGCATGTTCTGTAGATAATTCAGTGTTAGATTTTAGGTGGATCAGGACACACAAGCTCGATTAAAAAACCAAAAAAAAACCCAAAAAACCCACAATTTCGGATTGTAGTGGTGGTTGTACACTCTGGAGGGTTAAGGACGTTCACATCAAACAGTTAAGAGCTGTAATGTGTTCTGCTTCCCAGACCTAACGCGTTCACAGGGTTCGTTCCTCCCAGCAAGAAGCACATCTCGAGTTGTAACAAAGGTGATTAAATGAGGTGTGAGCAAGGATTTGTATGAAGTCTACTAAAAAGGCAGCGTTCTGCTCCTTCCCAATGCTCTTGTTGACTGGTGGGTTGTGCAGTTGGCATATTTACATTTAATAAAAACATCAGATCATAACATGTTTAAACGTAGGACGCTTTGGGGAAAGGGGGGGCAATCATTCAGATAACGAATTCTTAACTGAAGCAGTGAAAAGAAGCCAGGAAACGGTAACAGACCAGCTCTCCGAAAGGCCCCCAGCACCGCTGACCTTGGAGCTCCTGGGAGGGCTTGAACCAGAGGTGTGGGAGAGGGGCCAGAGCCGCAGCTTTGCTGGGACAGCTCTGTGGGGGAGCCGAGAGACTTCCATGTTGTTGCCCTCCTAAAGCCTCAGGTCACGGCTGGAAACAGCCACCATAAAGCAGTTCTCCGGTTGCAAAAAATGCTTGCGAGTGGGAAATTTTTTTTCCCCATTTTTCCTGAAAACTGAGGTCTTGCTCTCTCCTTCTCTCATTACTAAAGATTGTTTGCTAACTTCTGTATGCAGCCCGGTATTCAGGGTCTCGCCGGCAGCCTGTGATCACAAGCCTGATTACAGGGCATATGCGCGGTCAGTGTTTTCTGAAAGAGCCTCTGCAATCAGCGTGTTTGTTTTACCAGTTTTGTGTGCGAGGAAGCAGCACAAAAATCTGTGCCAGCCTCTTCCTGACCGAGGCTGTGGGAGGAAGGCAGGGTTGGCAGGCAGATGGAATATTTGTCACATGGAGAGAAGGTAACTGGGGGCGGGGGGGAAGCATGCCGCCGGAGGAGCTTACCTGACTGTAGCTTCACTGAAGTCCTCTGTGGCTTGGAGAATTGAGCAGTGGCTGCTTTTAAGAAGGCGGGGGGCTCCTTGTGCCCTAAGGCAGTGGCAGTCACAGTTCCTAACTGCGGACTGGGCTTAATCTGAATTAAACCTCTGGAGTAGGTGTCTGCATGACTGGGGGTTTTGGTGGATCCTGGTTTTGGTAGCCAGGCCCAGGACTAGTTGTGGACGCCATACTGTCCGTTCATCCGCGCGGCAGAGCTGGTGATGCTGACGCGGATGCCAGCGCAGTCCTAGCTCCACAGCTAGAGAGCTGCTCGCCTGTTGATCTGAACCCTTTCGTGGACACTCGGTTTCCTTTACAATGGATGGGGATTTTATTCTTGTCCTTAAACCGAAGGAGAGGATACTGGCAGGAGGAGGTTCTTCATGGCTGTCTCATGCTTTTCAGAAAATGCTCTGAAGGTGAACTGGACAGCGCCCGCTGGAAAACGGAATCTGTCTGAAAAAACCTTCCTTCACCCAAAGGCCTGTTGGTCGTCAAGAGGGAACCTCTACAACGGCCGAACTCTGCAAGTGATGGGCTCGGAGAACAGCGCTTTAAAGAGCTACGCACTAGAAGAGCCGCCGTTCACGCTGCCAACGGGACACACAATTTATCCCGCCGTGCTACAAGATGGCAAACTTGCTTCGGTCTTTGTGTACAAGCGAGAGAATGAAGATAAGGTTAATAAAGCTGCCAAGGTACTGTAGAGAGCGTGCCTGGGACAGGCTTGTCAGAGCTGTCCCTCCTTTTTCTAGCAGGGGTGGGAATCAGTTAACGAGGGTCAAACCCTTGGGGAGTAAGGGCAGGAGAAAAGGTCAAAGCTGACCCTGGCTGCAAACAGTGGCCGTGCCCAGGGGAGGAGAAGAGGGGTCGGCAGATGCGAAGCTCATCGTGTGCTGCACGGTGCGAGCAGCAGTGGGAAGCAGTGTTCGGATAGCAATGCTTGCTTTCGTTTGCAGAGTACTGGTCTCGTCCTGCCGATCTAAGTCAGAGAGTCTTTCTTAGGTGGACCCTACCCAAAATACTGTGTTTGTTCTGTGTTAGACTTTATCTAGATGTATTATAAAGGGTTCTGCAATGGGCGAGTGCATGTGCGGAGTGCGTGGTGAGGAGCAGGGATGGTCAGTCTAAATGCAAGCAGAAAATGTGGCTAAAAGAGCAAGGCTAAGCTCTGCAGCCAAAAGAGATGCCTTGGATGAGATTTAACAGATGACTTTGTTTCTGGAAGCACCTGAAAACCTTGCGCCACCCTTGCCTTCTGCGCTTCCTCTCTTGTACTGTGGAAGCAAATGGGATCCACCTGGTTACAGAACGTGTGAAGCCTTTGGAGATGGTCCTGGAGATGCTCTCTTCTGCAGAAATCTGCGCAGGGATCTACGATGTGTTGCTGGCGCTCATCTTCCTCCATGACAGGGTAGGTACCACCGGCAGCAGTCGTCAGGCTTTGGTGGGAGCCAGGTGAAGCATGACAGGAGAGCGTTGTGCCTGGGCTTGCCTGGATGACTGTCTCATTCCTGGTTCTTCACAAAAAGAGAGACCCACATCCCACAGTTCTTTTAGGCTGAAACTGCTAAAATCATTGGCTGCTTCGTAGGAGGAAGGGTAATTGAAAGTGCTGTGGGTTTTGGAAGTAAGGGAGCAGATCTCAATTCATGAATTGACATCTGTGTGCAGTGCTTCTTGCTTTAGGGAGATGGGTTTGCCCGGCCTTGGCATTTATTTACAGCTGTTGCCACGTATCAGAGACGGGTGTCACTGCTCCCCTGTTTTGGCACCGTCTGTTTGTCCAGGGCTGCAGTTAAATCCCAGCTCAGACTGTAGCTTTTGGGCTTTGGGTTCGTAGCTGGAGGTCTTCTCTGGATTTACAGTTGCATTGTAACAACTAGAGCTTTGTCTGCTCCAAAACCCCAGCACTTCTGCCTGACACCTGCTAGTCACCTACAAAATCCCAAAGGACCTTTAGAACTGTGTGCTTTTTGGTAGCTTTTCCTCAGCTCCTCGCAGCATCTAATTAGTGCTGATTAAGATTTTATGTCTTCTATCCCCAAGTCTGTTATCTTTTTTTTTTATGTTTTAGGGAAACCTAACGCATAACAATGTCTGTTTATCATCCGTGTTTGTAAGTGAGGATGGGCACTGGAAGCTGGGAGGAATGGAAACAGTCTGTAACTTCACTGAAGCCACCCCAGAGGTAAGAGCCGAGCAAAGCGCACCCTCGGATGCCCGGGAGAGGGCTCCCAGCCTGCTGAAGCTGGCCGTCTATGGATGTGAAGGCCCAAGTCCTTCCAGTTATTTGAATTTACTGTTAAGTGTGTTGGCTCACTTCCAGCTCTGACCTGAATCTTTGCTCTAAGGACGCCGTAACTATAAACTACAACATCCACACAAAGAGAAACTAATTCCCCATTAGCCAAAAAGCAGCTGCTTTTCTAAGGGAGACTGCTGGCTGAAGGGCAGGTCAAGACTGGGGAGAGTGAGAAGTCTTTGCTCCTCTGGACTGATTTAAAAACAAACTAAAAAAAAAAAAGCTTTAGTGTGAAGCAGGAAGATCCAGGTTAAAATGAATCGATAAGAAAAATAATTTAAATGACTCCTTAGCTTTTGCTGCTGGCATCTTCATTGCTTGTTACTGGTCTTAGCAAAAAAATTCCTGGTTGGATTTCTGCTGCATGCTGTGCAGAGTCATTGCTGCAGCCTGGCGCTGTGTCATAAATGTATATTGCCTTTTCTCCCAGAGGATCCACAAATCCTTCGCGAACTGTATTGAGCGTCCCCGGCGGGTATCGCCTTTCAGAAGGGATCAGGCAGACATGCAACTGGTGTGCGTGGTGGTGCACAACAATGCAAAAAGCGTGGCAGTAAAACCTGACTGCTAAAGCTCATGAAATCCTCTCCCGGTCCAGGTGGATCATGTGGGACGATAGGACTGAGGACTACAGGGATGAGCTGGCTGTGGTGCCCTGAAGTTCCTTTCTGTCAGCTTGGTGCTTCGCACCTCGTCCATTTGTGCTTCCCTTCTGGGCAGAGCAAAGCGCAGCCTGCCCTGGATGCCGGCTGAAGGGGCAGGGGGAAGAACTCCTGCCCCACGCTCAGCCCTGGCCCGCGGGGAGAGCCTGCTCCTGCTGCTTGGCGCAGATAAGCGATCGAGGCAGCTCACGTCTCCCCTCTTCTCCTTCCAGTTCCTCTGCCATCTCAAGTCGGTACGAGACCAGTCGTGCATCCCTTGCGAGGAGATGGTGAGTAACATCACTTGCTGGAGGGAACTTCTTGCTGGCAACAAATAAAAGTGCGATGTTCGGGAAATAGTTTTCACTCGCGTATTTCATTTCCTTATGCCTGAATGGGAGGAAGTGGCTGGTGGATAATAACTGAGGGTTTCGCTCTTCCTTTTTTCCCCCCCTTCCCTCCCATCCCCGGTTTGGGTACGGTGTTGGGCACAGGGAAGGGAAGTTCTGAATGAGGAGTGGTGGGGCAGCAGGTTGTGAAATATTTTTCAAACATTTTGTTTTGCAGCTTTAACACCTCTAAATCACCAAAGCTTGGCAAAAATTACAGCGTGGTTGCTGAGATTGCCCAGATTACTGTGGTCACGCGGTTGTGTAACTCTCGCACGCAACAGCCTGTTTTTTTCACTTGTTAGTCACCTCCTGTCTATGAAGAGTCCTACGAGTTGCTTATTTTAAAGGAGCACTGACTTTCTCTCTAATTAACACCTGTTTCCCTAGAAATGCTGAAAGTTGTTGACTTGCAATTGCTGCATGCGTTCATGGGGGAATCGTTTCATCGTGATGTAGTTGCTCCTGTGGGTTATAAATTCCCTGGTGGAGGTTTTTTTAGCATAATATTCTACTTGTATAGTACTTAGTGGAGCTTTGGTGCTATAAAAGGAATCAGAGGGTATACGTGGCGGGGGGTGGGAATAGAGATTCATGGAAACTACCAAGTATTTCATAAACTCCTGCTTTGCTGATATTTTTGGTTGTTCGGGCTTCTTTCAGTCTGCAGATTTCAAAATTCTGCCCAACAGCTATGGGCACGCGAGGGATGCCTACGCGTTTGGAACGATGGTTGAAAATCTCCTGACAGTCCTAAACGATCAGGGTGAGGAATGACGCCTGTTCATTTTGCTATTGACCGGCCTCTGTAGCTTATTCCTTGCCTGCGTCAACTGAGCCGTTTGCCTTTTGTTGCGGCTGGCAGATGTGCCACAGGTTCAGGGGCCATCGTTCTTCGTGTTTGCTAGGGTAAAACACAGGCTTCAGCTTCTCCAGCGTTCCCCTCTTCCTGCGTTTGGACATGGTCAGCTGGGGCCGGAGGTCAGCAGCCTGCCTACCGCGAGCCCTCCCACAGCTGTGCTGCAGCAGTCAGGGGTTCGCTTGGTCCTGCCCCGCCGGCCGCTTCGTCGAGGGTTATGGACGTGGGCGCGTGGATGTTGGGTACCACAGCTGAGCAGGGGCTGCTGCCTTCTAGCAGAGGGAGTAGGAAGCTTCTTGCAGTACAGTAGCACTCCTTGGTGCCCCAATAGCCAAGAAGCCTAGGGAGGGAAATGGAAATGCCATTTTCCTGTCCTTTAGGGACATATATGAGCCATTTTTCTGTCAAACAGAGCTTCTAAAAATAAGGTTTTGGGAGGGTGGAGGACTCCTGAACATAGCTTGTTCAGTGTCGAGAGACAAATCTAACTGCAGGTGCTCTGGATTTCAGTTTCAGCAGATATTCTCTCCAGCTTTCAGCAAACCTTGCACTGTACGCTGCTGAATCCAGATCCCAAGTGTCGTCCACCACTGTCCAGCTTATTGTGTCACGAGTTCTTCAGGTAAGGAAAGGAATATCCTGCCCCTCTTGCTATGTCTTGATACTGCTTATTTCTGTGTTGCAGATGTGTTAATTTTGTGAAGGTGTGTTACTGGATGGGAAGTGCAGACTTAATCCCTACCTCTTACAGGGATCTCTGACAAAGAGACTCCTTTAACTGAAAGCATTATCAGCCTTCCAAATGAGGTGCTGAGCTAGCAGCGGTGGCAGAAGTGTGTCCCTTAGTCACACGGAGTCAGTTGGATCTCCCCAAGCTCATGGGCGGTGGTTGGAAATGCTCTAGAAAATAAAATCATTCACGATACGGCTGGAGCAAAGCAGGCTCCGAGATAACCCACGCAGAGCTGTGTCTGCTGTCACCTGAGTGCTTTTCTGGGCGGTGGCAGTAGCGTAGGGTGGCACTTCCTTCTGCTCCTTGCCCCAGGAAGGTGGTCAGAGGCGGCTGATGCTGCGTTGCCCAGGTCTCCCTGCGAATCGCTGACTTCAAATGGCAGTACTGCGCAGGCGCAGCCGTCGGGTAACGGTTCACGCCTCCATGCTGGCGTTCTTGGTCCACCGGCATTTGACTTGTATCCCTCTGTCTAGTTCTCTCTGCGCAATGAAGGACGGGGATCTGCAGCCTCTTGGTTGCGGGTGGTTTAAGCATCAATAAGGATCACACTCGACAGCCTACGTTTTTGTGTTTAGGAATGATTTTCTGGAAGTTGTGAATTTTCTGAAGACCTTAACACTGAAGTCCGAGGAGGAAAAAACTGAATTTTTCAAGTAAGTGAAGGAACTATAATCTGGAAGCTTCTTACTTCAGAAATAGTTCTGCCAAATGGGATTCTGGGGGGACCTGGGAAGGCTAGCGGCTGGAGAGGAGGTTCCTCAGGTGCCAGGTTTCAATTGCTTTGGCAGAACATTGTTTGCTCTGTATTATTTTGGGTACTCCAGCCAAAGTAATGGTCGCATCAAAGAGGAAACTCTTCATTCCTTCCTTTCCCAGTTTCTTGTTGTGAATAGTTTGGTGTTTGGGAGGAGTGGTACCTGCTGGGCTCCGCATCATTCTGATACTCGCCAGGCTCCGGAGCGATGCTGCGCACAGCCGTACGGACAGCAGTGTTTTTACCGGCTACAGACCAATTGCTGTCACTGGAGAATCAGTCAGAAACCAGACTGTAGCGACATGCGTCACCTCAGGGGTGCTTTTCTGAATCCCGTCTGCTTGCTAGCAGCTGGGTTGAACTCCTGCAGGGCCAAGACCAGAAGCTTTCCCAGAGGAGTACAGGGATATGAAAACGGAAGAATTTTTCCGTTGTCCATGTTCTAATTGAGTTAATGCACTTTGTGGGGCATAATGCTGATGTTATTAGCAGAAGGTAGATTATTCAGGTTCTCTTCCACCCACTTTTAGCAGCGCTGTCCTGTCTTCAGGAATCATTTGAAAAGCCTTCATGTGCTGTAGCGTTGCGGTAGAGGAGGGAGTGTGGTCTAACAGCTCGTCTGCTCAGGCTCTGGTGAACAGCTCCTCACTGGAGCCGTCCCGGGGCCCTGCTGCTTTACACACAGGCTATCTGCTTGCCCAGTTTCAAAATACTCTAAAATATTGGAGAGCTTCTTTTAAGGTGCTGGGGAAAAAAAAAAAAATCTTTCCCTCGCCTCATTCTTAGAAGTAGCTTTATTTTAGATGCGACTTTGCAGAAAAGGGAAACCTAGCACCAGGCACCTCTTGAGGCTGGAAATTTTTTCCATTTTTGAGGCAGATCTTGTAAACCGCTAATGAGACAGTTTTCAATAAGACGTGTTGGGTGAATTAATCTTGTGGTGCCAGCCCTGTCTGAGTAAAGCTGTTGTCTGTAATGGATGTCTCGGCAGCATCTGCAGGAAACCCTGTTGTCGTGGTCCCCAAGAAGTTTTCCCCAAAGGAAGCTTCCATGTAGTCATGGCATTATCCGGGCCTGAAAAAGGGAGAAGCTGAATTTTTCTTTCTTTTTCTGTATAAAAGAGCCTAGGTGTTCTTACAGAGCTGTTTTCCTGCCTGTTTTATACATCTGTGGTCACCATCAGTTGTAACGCTAGTTTGATTTCACTAGTTTGAGACTAAGTAAGTGGAGGAAATAAGAGGAGAAAGGGGATCTTAGCGGGAGCATTCAGAATGGTTCCCACCATCTATGTAACAGGAGTGTCTACTGAGGGAGGGAATGAATATTTTGCTTAAAGATACAGCAGCGCTGCCCCTTTATCAGGCAGAGGGGCTTCCACAGCACGTGCACTACTGCTCTTAGTCTCCTCCAAGCCTAGAGAAAAGCAGTAACTGTTACTGATATTTTAAAAATGAAAAACCTACAAGGAAGAGTAGTTTCACAAAATCAAACTCAGACTTAAATAAATAAACACAACCCATGCTCCATTGGCCACCTCTAAAACGTATTAGATGGAAGCGGTTTCAAAATGGGATTCCTGTTTTGCAAGGGAAACCTCCTTTACGTGGTGGGTAGAACAGCCTTTTCTCAAGCAGTAGGACAACTCCTGCGAAGCACCAGGTTGTGGGGCGAGAGGCCAAGTCTCTTCTGCAGTTTTAACGCTGTAGCACTTCACGGGAGATAACAGCTCTGAGGCAGTTTGATGGCACAGCAGTGGGCAGATTCTCAGAGGGGGAAGCCTTCGTGAGCCAGCCGCAGGTGCGGCGGTGCGGCTGGATGTGCTCGTGGCAGCCTGCGATCCGGGTGTGGGGTTTTACAGGGTGTGTCTCTGGCTCCTGCTTTGTGCTATCCTTGCCTGAAAGCCTCAGGCAGGAGCAGAGCCTTGTCCTTCTAGGTTAGTGTGTACGTGGAGTGAGAGGCTGTGATGGGACTTTGTCTCTAGGAGATGAGTCAGACCCCAGAAAAGGGGAAAGCAGTATTAAGGGAAGCAGTCATAAATGCACGGAAGGCTGCCTTCATACTAATTGCTCTCTCCTGGAACGCAGATTCCT